AGTCGAAGACAAATTACATATAACGGTGTTTGCTCAGAAGTGCTGCATGAGACACCATAACACCAGGAGTGAATAATAATAGCTTATATATTATCTATTATTCTATTAGTAATGTACTAATCTATTATTATTCACTCCTGGTGTTATGGTGTCTCATGCAGCACTTCTGAGCAAACACCGTTATATGTAATTTGTCGTCGACTCTACTGCAGCAACTGCGCAAAGGCGAAGCCGAGTCGATTGGCACAGAGTGATGAGGATGCTAGGAGACTCTGGGACATGAGCATGCCTCTGGTTGGACTCAAGGCTGACCATCTACCTCCCGCCATCGCCATGGAAACGGTTACCGAAACTGCAGAATTCGATGGTGTGGCTGCCGCCATCGCTGATGGCGTCGACGCGGCGCAGGCTTACGCCGCCGATAAATGCATTCCGTTTGCAGACGACATCAACACGGTTGTTGATGAGGTGAGAGCCGTCGTAGCAAACCCAGATGACCTCTAGATTTGTTGCAGCGAACGGGAAATGAGTGAGAAAAAATCGTGATACTTGGATGGACGGACGGACGGATGGATTGACGAACAGACAGACATACTGGTGGTGAATTTGGAGTGAGACAAACATGTGGTGTGACATGGAAAGATGTGAAGGGAAGAAGTGATTTAGATCCTGTGGAGTTTTTCTAAAGAGGATAGTTGTACGTGTGACGGTGGGCTGGAAGTGTAACCGATATACGGCGTGCATAGGATACAGTATAGACTAGCTATTAGTGTTAGCCGTCCATGCATCATGCGCTTCTAAATGTGCCGAGGAAGTGAGAGCACTGTAGGCGTACATTCGTACACCTGTACATTCTGTACATTCGTGAGGTCGATTAGTTTCGCAGCACTCGTGTAGAGCTGCTGAATCTATATGTCGCGATTTAACATTGAAATCATTGTCGCCTTCATTCACGTCGTCGACGTAGCTATGAATTAACATAGCTGTCAGTGTCTCGTTGCTTTCAATGCCATCCACATTATTTACACTTGCTGTATCGTGCTCGTAAGCTTGTATCCCGTGAGCAGGCCACTAATAATAGCATTTAGGTAACCTGTTTAAAGTTCAGACCAATGTATATCGATCTGGCTTTGAATGTGCGCAAAATATCTCATTAGCATTCATCTGTATTTGATGAATGGCAAAATTCAATAACCAGCTGCACGCCTCAGGCATAGAAAGGAACGAGCCTTCAGATCTGCTGCCATTAATATATATCGCCATAAATACGAGGTAATATTAGTTATTACAAGTTATTAGTTTATATAGCACTATATATTTTTGTGTGAAAGTGACGAACGTTGCGTATCAGGGTAGGCAATGCATTGCCGGGTTGGATTGCGCTGAGAGTTGTTGGCACATGCACACATGAAATCATTATACTTTGCTTTATACAATATTGATATACAATATTGATATACAGTAATTATAGCTGATAGGGTCTATGTCTCCCTGGGTACTGCCGGAACGTACCCTGGTAACTATCTGATATGGTTAGGGTTAGGGAGTAGGCATAGGCGACTCCCTAGACTCGTTAGTGGAGTAGGCGAGGTACGGTCCGGCATATTAGATGGTACCAGGGTACGTTCCGGTATACCAGACCGTACCCAGTGTACGTTCCGGCAGTACCCAGGGAGACATAGACCCGGACAGCGTAATTATATGATCGTAGATTTTTTGACTGCAGTCTATGCTTTCGTGACCTATGCACGTGTTTACCTCTACTAACAGTATAAATTTAGTTAGAGCTCTACTTAGAGGAAAACAATCATTTATCCAGCCAAGGGATTTCGATCCCAGTGTTGTAATTTAATTGGCTGATTTCTGATTGGTGATATATACAGTTAGCTGGTTTACGTTCTCATATTGAATATCCTCATATGTTGGCTAATAATCAGTTAATATAATACATAATAATAATAATATATCAGTTGGCTTCTGTGATCCCCCGCTCTCTCTCTGCCCTTGACCAACTAAGTTTTTAGATTTATTTGTGAGTTCATATACTTACGTGAGCATATGTTACATGTCGATAAGCCAGATAGCAGGGCATGCACAGCTTTATGTGTAGCGTTTATAAACGCGAGCATGTTGTTTTTTTGTGCAAGTTTTTATGCAATGAATTCATAAAGCTTAATTGATAAGTTTTTATACATTTTGAATGGATACCGGATTTCTAAAGATATGCAGGTTTAGGTAGGGCGTTCCCTAGATGTTTCCATGTGATCGAATTGAGGGCATCCTCCTGGATTCTTTTTTCTTGTCCTAAAAATTTGTTCTGGCGGGGAGTAGGATACCCTGTAGTTGATACCGTCTTTCTAATGCCATTCCATGTGGAACTGCAGCAAACAGTTCAGGGCAAAATATATATTTTGAATGAGTGATGTGACAGGAAATGACGGATATTTAGTGTCAGTGTAGCTTTGTCACTATATACTTCGGCGAATTATAGCCGTATATTAGGTGACAATATTTATTAGTAGAAGAGAGTAATGCGTTAGTGCTAATGTATTGAACTATAGTTGTTTTTATAGCAATAGGGGTTATTCGATTAGTAGACATATTTGCTACACATTGTACAAGTTTTCTTATTTGCTGTTGTTGCATGATTAGGTTTCCTATGCAAGTGCACTTATTTGATTCCATGCAGAATGACACAATTTTACCAACATTTTTGCAAGATTTATTTTTGTACTATTGCTATGCAAGTCACAACTTATATTATAGATGTTTTGTTGATAGATTATATCCTGATTGTATGTTATTGTTATAGATTATAGATGACACTGGTTACACGTGTATTGCATGTAAAAATATGGATGTGGTTTATTTGCTATTATTCACATAGTTGTGCTTGCTAGTCAGTAGTTTTGGTTAGTTTCTAGTCATTTTGTTATACTTGAACATTCCTCATTATTTCGAATTATTATTATAATTTCACCAAGCCCGTTCCCTTGGCTGTGGTTTCGCTAGATAGTAGATAGGGACAGTGGGAATCTTGTTAATCCTTTCATGCGTGTCACTAATTCCTTATTTATTTAGTGTTTCCTGCATTTAAACTTTACATATATGTATATTGTGATCTTACATTGTTGTCATGTTACAGGGTGCGTGGATAAAAGATGGATAGTAATGCAATGCTGCTAGCTATCACTCATGTATGCAAATGCCTTCAACAATCAATGAGTTTATAGTATTAAGCCTGGCGCACATTGCCGAACATTTTCCCGAACAAATGTTTTTGTCTGTCAATGTGCGGGTGAACAATTGCCGAGCGGACATTCCCGAACATTTTGCAGCGAACAACCTTGTGGCGCCGTCTAGTAGCTGTGTTGTAAAGAGTCACGTGATCGGCGCATGATTGGGCACAAAAATCTTGTGACCACATATCGTGCTGCTATTGGTTACTACTTTACAAATGTTCCTAGAATTGTTCGACATTCAGCGCACATTGACGAACATTCGACGAACAATGTTCGAGATATCAAACATTTCCGATCTTCAGAAACATTGTTCGGAACAAATGTTTGGCAACTTTTTCCACTGCACATTGCCGAACATTTCATGGAACATTGCTACGATAATGTTTTTGAGCAAAATGTTCAGCAATGTGCACTGGGCTTAACTCTTACACGTGTACTGATGTAAGTGAAATTGTAATTGTTAGTTGAATATATTAATCCTGTTTGCAGATTAGCAGTTTTGGGTGCCAGCTGCAGTTTTAAACTTTATGCATGCAAATTTGCTTTTAGTATTCGGTGCAAACTGACAGCGAGTTATAGGCACCACAAGTGTCAGTAAAATATCAGTATTTTACATGCGGTATTGATAATCCAGCTATGATAATTTAAAAAACCTGTTACTTTTGTATGTATAATTTTGCCCCTGCGTAAAAGGCACCATGTGTATTGTACGCCTGTGTCTGTAAAAATTGTAATCGACTGTGCTGCTGTTTCATGGGAATGTCACTGTTGTAATATGTACTGTTACTGTTACACTGTACAGACAATGCCATGACGCATTACCACTGCTTGATCGTGGACAGTGTTCCTGATTACCTAGCATACTGCAAACCCAAGTGGCACTTGGAGCACTTAGTTAGCAGTGACGTGGAAACTCATGTGAATGTGGGTAACCTCTAGTGACAGCGTGACCGTTTGAATTGAAATTCAGAATTTTGTTCGAATAAATTTCACGGCTTAAGAAGAGTTGTTGCTTGTCATTTTTATTGTCCAGTGACTAAAAGATATATGTCTCATGACGTAGACAGACAAACAACAATTACTCCACAAGTAACAAATGTTACAGTGTGTTCTCAAGTAGGATGTGCCATTTGCATTAGCCAGACAATGGACTGATCAATTACCTGATTAATAATTTTTCATTGATTAATACATCGATGCTAAAATGACTTTACTCACACACATCTGGACTGGAACTATTTACATAGCCTATTAATCGATGTCATACGACCAATATTAACAGACTAGCCAGTGACAAACAGTCTTTAAAATTTAAACTCTTTATACTTCTTAGCTGCTTTGCCACCTTCTTGTTGTTTCTTTCTTTTGCTCTATAATAATAAAAGGAAAAATAATTATTAGCAACTTGGGTTAATAGTATTTACTGAGTCAGCAATGCAGGATATGCAATTTCTCTCTCTCTCTCTCTCTCTCTCTCAACCGCAGGCAGGGGTGTGACTGTCAACTGCCTGCACCCTGGCGTTTCTCCCAGCCTCTGCTGTCATTCCTTTCTCTCGGCCCTTGCCCTCGCAACCCCTGGCGTATCATTGCTCAGAGCGTCTCACTCTGTCTCTCTCGGTCGCAGGCACAGGCGTGACTGTCAACTGCCTGTATTGAACCATGGCTATAATAAGCATATTACTCAGGGCGTCTCTCTCTCTCTCTCTCTCTCTCTCGACCGCAGGCACGGGCGTGATTGTAAACTGCCTGTATTCAAGCATGGCTATAGGCATTGCCAGTATTAAAGCATGGCTACAAGCATTGCTCAGGTCTCTCTCTCTCTCTCTCCCGACCGCAGACACAGGCGTGACTGTCAACAGCCTGTATTAAAGCATGGCTACAAGCATTGCCTATATTCAAGCATGGCTATAAGCATTGCTCAGGTCTCTCTCTCTCTCTCTCGCGACTGCAGGCACGGGCGTGACTGTCAACAGCCTGTATTAAAGCATGGCTACAAGCATTGCCTGTATTCCAGCATGGCTATAAGCATTGCCTGTATTCAAGCATGGCTATAAGCATTGCTCAGGTCTCTCTCTCTCTCTCTCTCTCTCTCTCGCGACTGCAGGCACGGGCGTGACTGTCAACAGCCTGCACCCGGGCGTCGTCGACACGGAGATCGGTCGCAGTCTGCCACTCATCAACAACAGCATCGTACGCGCGCTCACCGCGCCGCTGCGCTGGGCGATCATGCTCACGCCCGAGCAAGGAGCGCAGACGAGCATCTACTGCGCCGTCGCCGAGGAGCTGGAGGGAGTCACGGGAGAGTACTTCAGGTGAGCTTCCTCTCGCGCTACGCTGTACTGGTGTAGTGTCTTGCTATGGTGTCTCGGTAAGGGGCCTTGGTACAGTGACTGAGTAAGACTGCGCCGTCGCCGAGGAGCTGGAGGGAGTCACGGGAGAGTACTTCAGGTGAGCTTCAGGGTTTCTTCTACATAGGAGGCACAGTGGCGCACCGCCGTTGTCAAATTTAACATCGCTGTTGTGAAAATGTTCCTGTATTTACTGATAAGTATATCCTGTATCTATATACCTATAAGTATATCAATACAACATGTACAACCTGTATTTGAATCCATCATGTGCATTTTTTTTCCCAAACTGCCCATTACCTCCTTTGTCTAATTTTCCCTCAGAAGAAACCCTGAGCTTCCTCTCTCGCTATGCTTTACTGGTGTAGTGTCTCGCTATGGTGTCTCGGTAAGGGGTCTTGGTACAGTGACTTAGTAAGGCGCCACAGTACAGTGTCACAGTATGTCTAATGTGTGTATCGTGTCTAATTATGCTGTCTTATTATGGTGTCTGTATCATTACGGTGTCTCATGCATGTTGTTGTCTATGCTGTATCATTACAGTGTCTCATGCATGTTGTTGTCTATGCTGTATCATTACTGTGTCTCATGCATGTTGTCGTCTATGCTGTATCATTACGGTGTCTCATGCATGTTGTCGTCTATGCTGTATCATTACGGTGTCTCATGCATGTTGTCGTCTATGCTGTATCATTACGGTGTCTCATGCATGTTGTTGTCTATGCTGTATCATTACGGTGTCTCATGCATGTTGTCATCTATGCTGTATCATTACGGTGTCTCATGCATGTTGTTGTCTATGCTGTATCATTACGGTGTCTCATGCATGTCGTTGTCTATGCTGTATCATTACGGTGTCTCATGCATGTTGTTGTCTATGCTGTATCATTACGGTGTCTCATGCATGTCGTCGTCTATGCTGTATCATTACGGTGTCTCATGCATGTTGTCAATTGTTTGTCTATGGCTGTATCTTACACGGTGTCCGCTCATGCTGTTGTTGTACTATGCTCTGATCATTTACGGTTTTTGCCCTGTTCATGCATGTTGTGTCTATGCTGTATTCATTACGGCTGTCTCAATGCCATGTTGTTGTCTATGCTGTAGTCATCTGTCATTACGGTGTCTCATGGCATGTGTTGTCTATGCTTATATCATTACAGTTGTCTCATGCATTTGTCGTCATGCTGTATCATGTACGGGAGTGTCTCAGATGGTTCGTGTCTATTGGGGCGGGGGCTATGGCTATTTCAAATATTTACCAGGTTCTCATGCAATGTCGTGTCTATGCTGTATCATTACGGTGTTCTGCATGTTGTCGGACTATGCTGTTTCATTACAGTGTTTGTGTAATGTATTCGGTGATGCAGTGTTATCAGGAGTGCAGAATAATAATAGCTTATTATATTATTTCTTTATTTATTCAGTAATGTAACTAATCTATTATTATTCACTCGTGGTGTTATGGAATGTTCATTGCAAAGCACTTCTGAGCAACACCGTTATAGATGAATTTGTTCGTGCGACTCTAACTGCAGCAACTGTCGCAAAGGCGAAGCGAGTCGATTGGCACGAAGTTGAGGAGGATGCTAGGAGGACTTCTGGGACATGAGCTATGCCTGTGTTGGACTCAAGCGCTGACCATTACCTCCGCCTCGCCATGAAACGGTTAACGAAACTGCAGCGAATTCGATGGATGGTCGCTGCCGCCATCGCTGCATTGGCGTCGACGCGGCGCAGCTTACGCCGACGATAAATGCTTTCCGTTTGCAGACGACATCAACACGGTTGTGATGAGTGTGAGAGCCGTCGTAGCAAACCCGATGACTCTTAGTATTTGTATGCAGTCGAACGGGAAATGAGTGAGAAAAAAAATCGTGATACTTGAGATGACGGGCGGGGGGCCGCCGGATGGACTTGAGGACACAGACAGACATAACTGGTGGATGACTTTGCGAGTGCAGACAAACATGTGGAGTGACATGGAAAGATGTGAAGGTGAAGAGAGTGATTTAGATCCTGTGGAGGTTTTTTTGCTAAAGAGGATTAGTTTACGACCTCGCTGTCGACGGTGGGCTGGAAGTCTGTACGATATTAGCGGCGTGCATTAGGATACGAGTTATAGACTAGCTATTAGTCGTGAGCGTCCATGCATCATGCGCTTCTAAAATGTGCCTGAGGAAGTGAGGCACTGTAGGCGTACATTGCGCACTACACCTGTTCACATTCCTGTACATTGTAGAGGGTCGATTAGTTTCGCCAGCCTCGCTTGCTGAGCCTGCTAAATCCTATATGTGCGATTTAACATTGATCATTGGTCGCTTCATTCACTCGTCGACTAGCTTGAATTAAGCATAGCTGTTCAGTGTTCTCGTTGCTTTCAATGCCATACCCATTATTAGCACTTGCATGTATCGGTGCTCTGTAAGCTTGTATCCCTCAGTGAGCAGGACACTAACCTAATAGCATTTAGGTACCTGTTTAAAGTTCGAGACCAATGTACTATCGATTGGCTTTAGAATTGTGGCAAAATATTCATTAGCATTCACTGTATTTGAATGAATGGCAAAATTCAATAAACCAGCTGCACGCCTTCACGGCATAGAAGGAACGAGCCTTCAGATCTGTGCCATTAATCATATATCGCCCATTAAATACGACGGTAATATTGTTATTACAAGGTTATTAGTTTATATAGCACTATATATTTTTGCGCTGTGAAAGTGAACGAACGTTTTGGGTATCAGGGTAGGCCCAATGCATTGCCGGGTTGGATTCGGCTGAAGTTGTTGGCACATCACACATGAAGATCATATATAACTTGCTTTATCAATATTGATTATACAATAGTTGATATACAGTATTATAGCTGATAGGGTCTATGTCTCCCTGGGTACTGCCGGAACGTACCCTGGTAAACTATCTGATATGGTTAGGCGTTAGGAGTAAGGCATAGGGACTCCCTAAGCGCTTCGCTGGAGTAGGCGAGGTTACGGTCCGGCATATTTAGATGGTACCAGGGTACGTTCCGGTATACCAGGACCGTACCGCAGTGTACGTTCGGCAGTACCATGGAGACATAGACCCGGACGACGTAATTATTAATGATCGACTAGATTTTTGAGCTGCCAGTCTATGCTTCGTACCTATGCACGTGCTTTACACTCTACCTAACAGCTAGTAAATTTAGTTAGAGCTCTACTTAGAGGGAAAACATCATTTAGATCAGCAAGGAATTTCGATCCCAAGTGTTGTAATTTAATTTGGCTGATTTGCTGATTGGTGGTATATACAGTAGACTGGTTTACGTTTCCTCATATTGAAATATCTCATTGTTGAAGCTAATAATCAGTTATATGAATACATATACATAATAATATATCAGTTGGCTTCTGCTGATCCCCGCTCTCTCTCTGCCTGGACCAACTAAGTTTTTAGATTTATTTGTGAGTTCATATCACTACGTGAGATATGTTACATGTCGTAAAGCCAGATAGCATGGGCATGCCACAGCTTTATGTGTAGAGTTTATAAAGCGCAGCATGTTGTTTTTTGGTGCAAGTTTTTATGCAATAGAATTCATAAAGGCATTAATTGATTAAGTGTTTATTACAGTTTTGAATGGATACCGGATTTCTATAAGATATGCAGGTTTGTAGCGGGCAGTTCCCCTAGATGTTTCCATTGATCGAATGAGGGCATTCCTCCTGGGACTTCTTTTTTTTTGTCCTAAGAAAATTTGATTTCTGGCGCGCGGAGTAGGATATCACTGTAGTTATACCGTTCTTCTCAATGCATTCCATGTGGAACTGCAGCAAACAGGTTACAGGGTCAAATATATATTTGAAATGAAGAGTGATGATGACAGGAAATGACGGAAATATTTTAGTGTCAGTGTGCTTTGTCACTAATTACTTAACTTCGGGCGATCTATAGCCAATATATGGAGGTGAACAATATTTAATTAGTAGGAGAGGAAGTAATGCCTGTTAGTGTAATGTATTAACTATAGTTGTTTTTATAGCAATTAGGGGTTTTATTTGATTTCAGTAGACGATATTTGACTACACATTGTACAAGTTTTTCTTATTTGCTGTTGGGTGCATGATTAGGTGTTCCTATTGCAGTGCCAGTTATTTAGATTCATGAACAGAATGACAAATTTACACGTTTTGCGAAGATTTTATTTGTTGGTACTATCTCTATAGAATCAAATTGTATTATAGATTGTTTTGTTGATAGATTATATCCCTGATTTTATAATTGGTTATGTTATAGATTATAGATGCCTTGGATTAACGGTGTATTGCCATGTAACAATCCATGGATGGTGTTATTTTGCTATTATTCACATAGTTGTGCATTGCTAGTCAGTAGGTTTTGACGGTTATAGTTCTAGTCAGATTTTGTAATAGTTGACACATTCTCATTATTGTCGATTATTATTAATAATTTTCACCAAGCCCGTTCCTTGCGCTGTGCTTTCGCTAGATAGTAGATAGCGGGACAGCAGGGAATATCGGCTTAATTCCTTTTCACAATGCGACGTCACTAATTCCTTATTTATTTGAGTATTTTCTTGCATGTATAACTTCGTACATATATGCTATTATTGTTGATCTTATTGTTGTCATGTTATCAGGGTGCGTGGATGAAAGCATGGATAAAGTAATGCCACATGCTGCTAGCCGTATCATCATGTATGCAATGCTTCAACAATCAATGAGTTTATAGTATTTAGCCTTACTGCGCACTGCCGACATTTTCCCGAAGCAAATGCTTTTTGTCTGAGGCAATGTGCCGGTCGTGACAAATTGGTGAGCGACAGATTTCGAACATTTAAGTGCAGCCGAACTAACCGTTGGGCCCGCGTCTAGTAGCTGTAGTTGTAAAGAGTACATGATCGGGCATGATTGGCACAAAATTTCTTCGTGACCACTTATCGCTGCTGCTGATAATTGAGTTACTAATATGACAAATGTTCCTAGAATTGGTCGACACTGTCAGCGCAATTGAACGGACATTCGACGACATCAAACTTCGGAGATATCAACATTTTCCGATCTTCAGGAAACATTGTCGGCACAATGTTTGGCAACTTTTTTCCCCGACATTGCGGAACATTTCATTGAGAACTTGCTTACGTAATGTTATTCTTTTGAGCAAAAGATTCAGCATGAGCCACTCGGGCTTAACTCTACCACGTGTTACTGATGTAAAGTGAATTGTAGAATTGTAGTGAATAATTATCTGTTTGCAGATTAGCGTTTTGGTAGCCAGCTGCAGTTTTTACTTTATGCATGCAATTTGCTTTTTAGTCATTCGGTGCAAATGACAGCGAGTTGATAGGCACCCATGTGTCGTAAAATATCAGTATTTTTACCAGTGCGGGTATTGATAATCAGCTATGTAATTTTCAAAAACCTGATTACTTTTGTATGTATAATTTTGCCCTTGCGTAAAAAGGCACCATGTGTATTGTCGCCCTGTGTCTGTAAAATTGTAATCGACTGTGGCTTTGCTGATTTCATTGGATGTCACTTGTATATGTACTGATTACTGTCTACACCGTACAGCAATGCCATGAGCATTGACCGCTGCTGATCGGGTGCGCGACAGGTGTTCGCTGAATTACGACATAAGGGATCTGCAAAACCGAAGTCCGGACATTGTGGCAGCACTTGGGTTGAGCGATGTGACGCGTTACGGAAACCTCCATGTGAATGTGGGGTCACTCTAGGTGAACAGCCCGGTGACGTTTGGAATTGAAATGCAGGCAATTTTTGAAGTTCGAAGTAAATTTCACGGCTGTAAGAAGGAGTTGGTTGCTTGTCGATATTGTATTGTCTGTGACTAAGAAGATTAGTATGTCTTCATGAGCGTAGACAGAACAACACAAACAATACTCAAAGTACAAAAATGCTACAGTGTGTTCTCATGAGTAGGATGGGGTGCCATTTGCATTAGCCAGCAAATGGACTGCTGATCAATTACATGGATTAATATATTATTTCAGTTGATGTCGAATACATCAATGTAAATGACTTTAACTCAACACATCTTGGACGTGGAATCTAATTTAGGCATAAGGCCTATTAAAATCGATGTGCTACGACCGAATATTAAAGACTAGCCTCAGTCGACAAACGTCTTTAAATTTAAATGTATACTTTAAGCTGACTTTGCACTTCTTGTTGTTCTTTCCTTTTGCTCGTATAATAATAAGGAGAAATAATATTTAGCAACTTGGAGATTAATAGGTATTTTACTGAGGTTCAGCAATGACAGGATATCGCCAATATATATATGTTGTCATTGCATGGTAGTTTAACATAAGTAGTAGGTGTGATACTGGCATAAGGACGACGGGTGACGATAGCTAGGATAAGAAAGAGGTCCGGTGCGCAAAGAAGGATATTGGTAATGCCTGCTATACGATGTGAGATGCGAGTAGAGATAATCGGAGTATACAGGGTGGACAACTAAACTATCTGCATGCATGCGGCTAGCGCTGATATAGGGAAGTCATTTGTGTTAGCTGAGACAAAATGGACAGGGTGGAAGTTAGTAATATAGCGGACGTTATAGTAGTTGATAAGAGAACAGAGGGGTAACGCTGGAATGAAGTGGAATCACGGAGAGCTACGCATGACAGAATATGCAAGTCGAATGCAGTTACGGGCACGTGATCTGGAGAACACCAGTAAGCTAGAGGGTCAAGGACGGAATCGATTAGGCATGGTAGATTAAGTATTGGCAGATGATTGAAGAACTGGTAGAATGAATAAGTTGCTTGTAGGCAGAATGAGGCAGCGGCATGTGTAGGAACATGAATAGGATCTCGGTAGCAGATGAGCAGCGCATGGGTAGTATGGATAAGTTCAATGGTAGCGATCGACTGCAGCGGCCAGAGGCATGGAGATGAAAGATATGGTAGCAGATTGAGGCACAGGCATGAGATAGATTGGGATAAGATGTCATGGTAGGAATGGCATAAAGATCATGATAGCAGATGGCAGCGGATGGTAGATGCGATTAGATCATGCGTTAGCCGCTCGCCGCGCCCACGCACGGCGCATCGGTAGATGAGGGGATTTTAGCATCCATACGGTTACGCAGACAACAGGATCGACAACTGGCTAGCCATGGATAGATCATTGGCTAGCACAGACAGGATCCCTCTGCTTCTTC